TACAATCCCTCCTCCCGAGTCCCCTCCACTCAGCTGCCTTCATTCTGGACTCCTGTCATGACAATATTTTGAACAGGACGTAGTTTACTCCACAACACATCCTGAGTTCTGCTGAGCTCTATACTTCTATTTCCAATGGTCTGTTGACTCTCTCCACTCTTGTTTCTGATAAGCACTTCCAGCTTAGAAGATTTAAACTCACCGTTTCTCCTTTCCCAAACCTGTTCCTCATTCTCTAGCTTCATTAATGACATCACCATCCTTTGACTCAGTCTCCCGAAGTAGAAACCTCAATGTCACTCTTATGTCTTCTTTCTATTTCCACTTTACTATTTCCATATTGATTCAAGACACAAGTTCAGTCAATTTCATTTCCTAAACATTTTAAAAATCAGACTCGCCTTTTCCTTGCTTTATAATTTCACGAACTCTTAAAGTTACTCTTTCTTATGCTACTTTCATCTTGTTTCAACTTCTTCTTGTTGTTGATTGCCTTTGAGTCGAGCACGACTCATAGCAATCCTATGAACAAAAGGCCTGAAGCCCCTCTACAACTATTGACATTTATCAAAGTTTGTAGAGTTTCCTGAGGCATGTTATTTAGGAATTGGATGCCACTCCTGCTTCCAACTTTACCATCACCTTATTTGACTTTGAAGGTTCCACAGTCTTTAATAAAATACAGCTTAATTGGACACACATAAGGTTGCCATAAGTTGATGTTGAATCAGCAATTGGATTTGTATAGTGTCTCTCAAGGGGAAAATAATGTTTTGTAAAGTCCTGTTTGTAGGACCAAAGTCTATTAGGATTAAAAGGATATTTTGAGAGCACCTAGCTCTATTTCTGGAAATTAGATGATCATGGCCATGATGAAGATAAAAGTGAATAATTTTCACTGACTGAGCACTCCATATGATTACTATTTTTTTTCTTTTTTGAGAAAACTTCATATTTATAATTAGCCAGCTGGACTCAGTTTAGATGATCCCAATTTTGTTAGCAACATCCAAGACATCATAGTCAGGAGTAAGTCAAACACAGGCCTCCTTTTCTCCATCAGGCTTGATCAAGGTTTTGACCTTGACCACATCAATGTCATAGAGCTTCTCCACCACTTGTTTGATCTGGTACTTGTTGGCCTTTACATTCACAATGAACACAAGTGTGCTGTTATCTTCTACTTTGTTCATGGCTGATTCAGTGGTCAGCAGAAACTTGATGTTGGCACAGTGGTCAAGCTTGTTTTCCCTGGAGACATTCTTCTGGGGATACTCGGGCTGCCTTTGGAGCCTTGAGCTTTTCAGGCAGCCAGAAGGTGTGCGACCTGTGGATCTTCTTTTTTTTTTTTTATGGCTGTAGATACCCTTCAGGACGCCTCCTTGGGGTTTAACACCTTTGCTTTGGCTTCAGTTTTGGGAGGGGTAGGGTTTTTCTTCTTTGCTTTTGGCACCATCTTCGTGAAAAGGATAGTCTATATTCCTGTTATGTTCTGTATTCCTCAGCTCTTACTAGAGCCTTAAGACTAGGTTCCTGGTTTAAAGAGGAGGTTTAGGAAAGGGAAGCAACTTCAACAATGCCATTTAGCAAGTGGGGTTAAGAGTATGACTCTGAAACTATCTATGACAATAATTATTTTAAGATGAAGAGCTAAGATTCAAGTGAACAGCAGCAGTGTGGCAAAGCAACTCTCCATAAAAGAAGAACCAAGCCTGCCTCCTTCCCGAGAGGGCATTGGTGGCTCAGTGGTAGAATCTCACATTCTGCCCAGGGCTACTGGACAATGCATCACATGCTCAGCCTTCACCATCTATCAGTAGAGGGTTGCATGTTGCTCTGATGCTGAGCAGGTGCTTTTTTTTGTTGTTGTTGTTGTTGCTCATTTTTTAAAATCCATTTAATTAATTCAGAAGCATAGTTGGTTTTCATTTACAGGTTCCTTGAACAGCAATCTTCTCTGGCAGCTGCAACTGCTTCTAGCAATTGCTCCTGGAAAGGGTAGGAATAAATTACCTGTGCGAGGGATAGGAAGTCTCAGATTACAATCTCTCAAAGAGTGAAAAGGACGACTGGCACTCCAGGCCCCATAAACCCCACTCCTATCCACAAGAAAGCAACCGCATCAGGAGCCGCTGCTCTGTTTTGCCGTCAGTCTCTTGTCTCTCTCTTCAGCGATGCTAAATCGAATGCTCTTACCCCTGGACAGGGAAATGCAAGGTTTGTTACTTTTGCTGAGGACAAAAAATGTTGGAGAGACCGGTGGCAAAGCTGTGGCCATTGGCATCCTTCACATGCTCAACATCAAAAGAACCAGGATGTCTTTCTCTGTTGGTTGATTACAACAACGTGGCCAAGATTTGCTCCACCAGTCACCATACACACATTGCCAGGGTCCAGTGTGATGAAGTTGGTTATCTTGCCTGTTCTTAAATTGATCACTACTGTGTCATTCACCTTGATGAGGGGATCTGGGTAACAAACGGTTCTAGCATCGTGAGTCACCAAGTGTGGGATACCCTTTGCACCTACAAACATCTTCCTCACTTTGCACAGCTTGTACTTTGTCTCTTCAGGTGTAATATGATGAACAGCAAAACGACCCTTGGTGTCACAGATGAGGCAGAAATGCTCACTTGTCTTCTCAATGCTGATGACATCCACGAATCCAGCAGGATATATGATATCTGTGTGACTCTTGTTGTCCACTCTGATGAAACGCTGCGTGCATATTTTCTTCACCTCATCTCCACTCAGTGCCTATTTGATCCTGTTTCGGAGGAATTTTATAAGAGGAAGACATTCTCTGAGCTTGTGGAGACCTGCTGATGGACGAGGTGCAAAAACTCCTGTGAGCTTGTCGATCATCCGATGCTTAGGCGCTGTAACTTTCTTTAAGTGTTTCTTGGGACTTCGGGCCATGGCAAACACCAGGAAGGAACCTGGACAGGTTTTAGTAGATCTTCCAGAGTGAGAAGGGCTAGGAAGAAAGCCTACTCAGTTAAATCTCCCAAATCAGCCAATGAACACCCAATGGATCACATCATCTGATCTGCAACTGACCAAGGTGACGATACAGGATGGGCAGTGTTTGTTCTGATGTGTGTGGTCTTGCTGTGAGTTGAGGGTTGGCTGGATGGCAGCTAACAACCACAAAAACAACACCTCCCCCATTCCAGCATTTAGAGTTGTTACTAGAAAATTATCTCCTCAACCAGAGACTATATTTCCCATGCTCCTTTGCAGTAATGTGGGACCATGTGAGTTCATTCTAGCCAATAGATTATGAAAGGAAGTCTATGTGAAACCTATATTTAGACCGGTCTCTTTGGAGGGAGTCTTAGAACAGAACAAGGAAACTCTGTATGATTCAAAATCAAAACAGGAGTATGTCAATGATGCGTCCTGTCTCTATACCTTTTCACTCTGTATACAGAACAGATCATTAGAGAGGCTAGCCTTTATGAGGAAGAATGTGGCATCAGGATTGGAGGAACGCTTGTCAACAACTGTGTTATGCAGATGACACAACCTTACTTGCTGAAACTGTAAATGGCCTGAAGCATTTGCTTCAGAGAGCCAAGGACTGCAGTCTGCAATATGGGTTGAAGCTCAGCTTCAAGAAAACAAAGAATCTCACCACTGGGCCAATTGGTAGCATCATGATAGATGGAAAAGAGATGGAAATTGCTAACAATGTTAGCTTGCCCAGTCCCACAGTCAACACTCTTGGCACAAGCAGTCGGGAAATCAAAAGATGAATTGCTCTGGGAAAGGCTGCTGTCAGGACCCTCTCTAGAGTGCCAAAGAGCCAGGGTGTCAGTCTAGAGACTAAGGTGCACCTGATCCAGGCCATGGTCTTAGAAATTACTTGCTATGCATCAGAGAGCTGGACAATGACCAAGGATGACAGGAGAATTAATTGATTCCTTTGAGTTGTGGTGCTGGAGAAGAGTATTGAATATACCATGGACTGCCAAGAGAACTAACACATCTATCCTGGAGAGGGTGAAACCAAGCTGCTCCTTGGAGGCAAGGATTTTGAGACTTCATCTCACATACTTTGGGCATGTAGCCAGGAGGGACCAGTCTTTGGTGAAGGATATTATAGACCCTTCCAAAGATGGATTGACACAATACCTGAGATAATGAGGGTAGGTGTGTGAGAGACAGTGAGATTGGCTCAGGATAGAGCAGGGGTCAGAGCTATTGTGCACAGGGTTGCTATGAGTCATAGTTGACTCAATGGCACAAAACAATAACAACATCAAATTCCAACATGCTTTTCTCCTATTTGGCCCACGTGGAAAGCTCCCTGGGGTATCCTTGAGAGCTTTAAATGGAATATGGCAGGTTTACATTACTCTGAGGTGGAGGATAGACATCCTGCAAACATGTCGACCCCTTGCTGATATTCAAGTGACAAATTAATTACTGTGTGCTAAGGAGTGTCACTGAGTGTTGCAATGACTAAACATTCAGCTGCTGACAGAAAGATCAATGGTTCAAATCCAGTAAGAGGTGCCATAGAAGAAAGACTTTGGGACTTTCTTCTGTAAAATCATAGCTATTGAGAGCCTTACAGAGCATAGTGATGTTCTTAAAATACATGGGGTCACCATCCTTCAGTTTGTTGTTGTTGTTGTTATGTGCCGTCGAGTCGTTTGTGACTCATAGTGACCCTATGCACAACAGCCCTAAACCGTGCTCTATCCTGTGCCAATCGCACTGCCTCTGACAAACCCATCCCGATTACCCCAGTCACTGAATCAATCCATCTCACAGAGATGGCCATATTTCAAAATCAACTAGATGGTCACACATTTTATTGCATTAAGGCCCTGGAATTTTGCAGGAATTATTTGTTATAGCAGCTAATGCTACTCTAACTCCATCAGCCTGACTCTGTCACTTGGCTAACTGTCCTCTCAGAACATGTGGATCTTGTTCAGAGTTTAACAGAACAGAGTTGAAGTGGGGAGCCTGGTTTCCCTGTCCTTTTGGATTATGGCTCCTTTCCCTCATCTTTCCTTAGGTCAAGAGAGCTAGGTGTCGTCATGACGAAGAGTGATTTGGTTGAAACGTCCTACCTCCGGCTCAGTTTTCTCAATCCCCGCGAGGAAGAGCAGGTGGGCCAGGAAGAGGCAGATGGAGAGCTGCAGGTGCAGCGAGGTGCTGGTGTTCTGGATGGGCCGGCACAGCAGGAAGGTGAGGGCCGCCAGGAGGAGGCACAGCAGGGAGAGGCTCAGCCCCACGTGGGTGATCATGGTCAGCACTGGGTCCACCTGTGAGCCGTGATGGGAGTGTTACTGGACAGACAATGGGTCTTTTCACCGTCTATTGCTTTCCTGAGTATGATGGAGGCTAACGAGACACGCACTTGATTTACAGATCTGGAAGGCAGTGAGATAGTTCTCCAAGTCTTGCCTCTCTCCATATGGTCAGAGATTTTATGCCTTAATCTGCTATTACTATACTTGACATGTTATCCCTGTGTTCAAGGTTACAGGGCTTATCCGTCTGAGAAGGACAATTCACATGTTGTTAAGTAACTTAAGTTTCTATAGTATCCAGTACAAACAATGCCTCTGAAATACATTGCAATCTCTTCCTGAAGTTAAAAGGTTTCTTATTTGGGAAAGTGATTTGCTTTTTTTGGAGATAAATGGTCTTTTTCATATCATCATGGGGATTGTCCCTTACCTTTCCAAACATTAACATTTGTCCAGGTTATGAGATTGTAGTCTAAGACGGGGGTTTTAATGGCCTCACATCAAACTATTTACTACATCAGCTCAGCTACTTTGCAGGAATATAAAAACACAGAGAAGTTAAACATGAGTCTAGAGATATGGAGACAAACAAGATACTAACCTCATTACAGAGACGTTACCAGCAACATAAGCTGAACCTCAAACAACAGGAAGCTAAAGTTTGTTGCAAATAAGTTAACCAGTAATGAAAATAAAGTTCAAGCAGAAGGAAAAAACATGTGCTGTAATGAAAAAACAGTCCTGAACTTTATTAATGCTATTCCTGGTGGCTTAGTGGTAAGGAGTTGTGCTGCCAACCCAAAGGAATGAGGTTCAAATCTACTGGACAGATGAGAAGTCTCCTCCCGTGAGATTTACTGTCTCTGAAAACTCACCAGAGGGTCAGACAAGGGTAGGTTCCAACTTGACAATTGACACAACAACCACAACAATAATCCTTCGGGAGGAATCTGTTCTGTTTCTCACCTTAGCAGTTACGGCCCTGATGGTGAGACGGGGTTCGTAGCTCAAGGATCTCACAACAAAATTAACGAACCTTTCTGACGTGGCTTTTCCATTGTCACAACAAAGTCTATTCTGGTGACAAAGTGTCTCTGAAAGGTAAATACCTGGAGACTTGCTTTTGTAAATATTACAGGTTAGAAAATCCCATGGTGCCCTCATGTAATGAAATTCTTTGCACCATGGGATTGTTATGCATTGAAATCAGTGGCACCTAATACAACATGAAGGATGCAAACTTGTTGGAAAAACTGAATTCCCTAGCCCAGAGCTGCTCAATAGGACTATCTTGTAAGCCTCATATGTAAATTAAATTTTCAAATACTCTGGTAGTCTAATGGCGAGCAGCTGCACTGCAATCCGAAAGGAACTCAAGTCTAATCCACCAGATGCTCCAATGAAGAAGGATGGACAATCTCCTCCTGTGGGATTAACTGCCTCTGAAAACCTGCTGGAGGGTCAGCTATGGGTTGGTTTCAACTCAATGTTACACAACAAAAACAACAACAACAACAACAGTAACCGACATTGACAATGAATGTAAAAAATGACAGGCAGAATGAATGCCATGTTTTTATTGTGTGTGGTGGTGGGCCATGTACAACAGAACCAAACACTTCCACTCCTGCAGCATCCTCACAATCTGTGCTGGGCTTCCGTTCATTGCTGCAGCCACTTTGTGAACCCATTTCACCAACAGTCTTTCTCTGTTTTTGTTGATCTGCTACTTTTCCAAGCATGACGTCAATCTTCAGGCAGCAGTTCCTCCTGATAACATGACCACAACACCTGAGGAGAAGTTTTGGCATCTTCCCTCTTAAGGGCACTCTGGCTGCATGGCCTAGTGGGTAACGGATTGAACTGCCAACCCAAAGGCAGGCAGTTCAAATCCACCAGTTGTTCCGTGGGGGAAAGATGAGCAATCTCTGAAGACCCAGTGGAGGCTCAGCTCTGAGTAGGTCCACAGCTATGAGTTTAAGTTTGTTTTTGGTGTGTTCAATATTCCTTGCCCAACCACAAATCAAAGATGTCAAATTTTCTTTGGTCTGTCTCAATCGTTGTCTGACTTTCACAAGCATTTGTTGCTGCTAGGTGCCATCAAAGCAATGACAGCTCTGTGTCCCTGTGAACAACAGACCAGATCCTTGTCCTATGCTGTGCCATCTTTGGGATCACTGTCATGTTCAAGTCCATTGTTTAGTTACTGTGTCTGTCAATCCAGCTCATTGAAGGTCTTCTCTTTTGTTGACCTTCTAGGTTTCCCATCATACTGTCTTTTTACAAGGTCTGGCCCTTCTTCATAACTTGCATTGGAGGTGCTTGAAAAAGAAAATGGCTTTGGCTAGGTACATCTTGGCTTTCAAAGTTACAGCTTTGCCTTTTAGCACTTTGAACAGGCACTTTGTGCACATTCTAATACACTATTTTCCATGAGTGTAGACCATGGACCCAAGCAAGAGGAAATACTTGACAACTTCAAACTTTTCTCCATTTTTCACTTTGGTTTTTATTGATCCAGTTGTGAAGATTTTGCTTTTTTCATGTGGAGGCGTAATCCATTCTGAAGGCTACAGGCTTTGGCCTTTATCATCAACTCTTTCAGATCATAACTTTCAGCAAGTAATTTTGCATCAAAGACTGCTCATCAAGATAAATGAAGAAAAGATCGAACGTGCCAAGGATTTTACTTTACTTAGATCCTCCGTCAACACTCAGCAGTATAGAATTCAATGAACTTACTGCATTGACAAATCTACTACAGAATCCTTCAAGTTCTAAAGAGCAAAGGTGCCATTTGAAAACATAAGGTGTATCTGACCTAAGAGATGGTATTTTCAATAATAGCTTTTTAAACATAAGGAAGTTAGATCACAAATAAGGAAGAGAGAAGATTTTATGTCTTGGAATTTTGATGTTGGTGAAAAAGAATCGAACATACCATGAACAATCAAAAGGAAAAAAAGGATCAATTTTGAAAGAAGTGCAATCAGGATGATGAGGCTTCATCTTATGTACTTTGGACATGTTACCAGAAAGGGCCAGTCCCTGGAGAAAGATACCAGGTTAGTGAAGTATAAAGTAAAAAAAAAAAGAGGAAGACGTTCAAGGAGATGCATTAATATAGTGATTGCAGCAATGAACTCAGCGATTGTGAGGATGGTGCAGGCCCAGGGATTGTTTTCTTCTATTATTAGTAGGGTTGCTGTGAGTCAGAACTGACTTGGTGGCATTTCTCAGCAACAACAAATGCACCTCTGTGTTGGATGTATCAACATTCTCATTCCTATTGGGAGAAGTCTGAGCTGTGAGTTCTACACTGATTTTCAGAGTTCCCCAAAGGAAAGCTTCAGCTGCTCGCCATGGTGACTGGCTTGACAACACTCTCTGTATCGGTCTCTATCCCTTTCCTATTTCACTTACAAAGGCCTTTATTTGTATTTTCTGTAACCACCTTTCAAAGAGATCTTGGAAAAAGTACAGTCAGAGGGTTCCTTGGAGGCAAAGATGATAGAGCTTCATCTCTCATACTTTGAGTACATTGCTAGGAGAGTCTATTCTTTGGAGAGGGACATCATGCTTGGAAAGGTGGAAGGTCGGTGAAACAGAGGAAGACTCACAATTGGCTGGACTGACACGATGACAGCTACAATGGGCTTGAGTGTGTCAGAAATTCTGAGAATGGCACAGGATCGGACAGGATTCAGATCTGTTGTTCATAGGGTCACTGTGTGTTGTACTCCACTCAACGGCATTTAACAATAACAACAACAAGAACCACCTTTCAAACAAGCATCTTGAGTTCTTATCTCAGAGTGTTTTTCTAAGAAACGGAGCAGATAACGTCACAACCTCTTGGAAACAATGAGGTTCCCAGGAGAGGATCTTGGTACCTGCGGTGTAAGAGCCATGAGAACAGCGAAGCTGGACAGATGGAAGCACTGGCACTTGGTGTAAGAATCGTTGCTGCCTGCACGGAAGCAGCCCTCCCTTGACCAGCTGCCTTCTTCCATTGATTCATCCCAGTAGACACAGAAATGTCTTGCTCTTTCATTAACAGGCTGAAAAAAGAATAGCACAGAAGTGATTTTATTTCTGACTTATTATTTGAACTGTATAGAATAATCACAGATGGGGTATATTTGAATTGGAAAAATCTTGCTATTTTGAGCACTTCTGGGAAAAAATTTCACACCACCATCCAGATTATATCTGAGGATTAGTCTTCATTAGTTCTCTCCGTCTTATGGTCATTCCAGTCCCCTGAGTGTTGACCCTTATGAACTGCTTAGCTCAGGCTCTTTCCTGGCTGGATTCAAGTGGCTTTTACCAATGAGAAAGCCTGATGTGACCTTCTTGGGAAAAGCAGTCAGTCATTTCATTAAGGCCATTTCCACATCATTAACCACATCTGTCTGATGCCAGAGAGTAGTGGGTTGAGTGTTTCTATGATGATAGAAGCTATACCACCTGTATTTCAAACACCAACAGGGCCACCAGTGCTGACTAGGTTTCAGTTGAGCTTCCAGACAAAGACACACTAGGAAGGAAGATATAGCAACCTACTTCTTAAAATTATGTTTAGTTAGTTGCCATCCATGTATAATGGAAGAAAACCTTGTTTGGTCCTGTACCATTCTCACAGTCTCTGCAATATCAGAGCCTCTATTTGTGGGTTGTTGTTGTGTGCTGTCAAACTGGAACCGACTCATAGCTGACCCTCCAGTGGATTTTCAGAGACAGTAAATTTGTGGGAGGAGATTTCCCATCCTTCTCCAGCAGAGTTGCTGGTGAGTCTGAACCACGTGCCTCTGGGATTGCAGCACAGCTTCTTACAAGTAGGCCACCAGAGTTTCCCCTTATTTGTGGGTATTATGCTATCAGAGAGTTGGACAATGACTAAGGAGGATAGAAGGAGAATTGATGCCTTTGAGCTGTGGTGCTGGAGAAGAGTATTGAGGGTACCATGGACTGCTAGGAAAACAAACAGATTCATACTGGAAAGGGTCAAACTGGGGTGCTCCTTGGAGGCAAGGATTCTAAGGCTCCGTCTGACATACTTTGGACATGTTGCAAGGAGGGACAGGTCCTTGTAGAAGGCCATCATGCTTGGTAGGGTGGAGGGACAGCGCAGAAGGGGAAGGGCCCCTATGAGGCGGATTGATTCAGTGATTGGGGTAATCGGGATGAGTGTGTCGGAGACAGTGCAATTGGCACAGGACAGAGCAGAGTTTAGGGCTGTTGTACATAGGGTCACTATGAGTCGCAAGCGACTCGACGGCACATGATAACAACAACATCCTATCTAGAGTTTCCCTTAGCCAGTGAAAACCTGTGGATCACAAAATATTGTGACTTTAACTTATCTAGGAAAAATCATCATGAAAGACCAATTACTAAAAAAGAACATCATGTTTGGTAACATGGAGGTACAGCAAAGCTCAAGTAATCACTCGGTGAAGTAGGTAAGATTACAGTGACCACAACAGTGGACTCAAGCAAACCAGTGATCATGAAGATGGGATGGGACATGACAATTTTGCTCTGTTATATATAAGGTCACCATGAATAGGAACTGAATTGACAGCAACTAAAATGCCCACTTTCGATTGGACAATCTCTCCTCTATCCCTCGATATCTTATACTATATTCAATAATTCTAGTTCCTATGTGATCTTTTCAAAATTAAATGTGCTGATGACTTTCCACTGTCTTTGAGTGAGTCAACTCCCTTGGTACCTCTTTTAACTCTAAACCATCAGAGTTGGATTCAATATCAGAATGCTTGTAATATACCTTCATTCCTTTAAGACACCCTAGATGAAGTCCTTGGTGCTGAATACAAATCAGACTGAACTTCTCACTTAAAGGTTGGAGGTTCAAGTCTACTCAGACTTGAGGAAGAAGAGGTCTGGTGATCTAGTCACTAAAAATCAGTCAATAAAACGCAGTTCTACTTTGACACATGAGGGAAATACTCAGAGTTGATTCAATGACAAGTGGCCTTATTATTTTTGATAGAACCAGAACTTGATTTTGCTCACCTGAGTATGTTTAAAGACCAGGACCACAGGTTTGGACAGGTAAATCTTTTTCTTCAAACCAATGGTGCCACTCAAGACATAAGAATCCAGTTTTACTTCCTCCAGTCCTTTTGTGTCATTAAAGTAGGATCCATTGAGAACATCCCCAAGTGTTTGATAAGTGATCAGTGCTACAGCACTTTGATCTGCAATTATAGGAGAAAAACCAATTTTGTATGCTTTTCATAATTTGGGGTTGTGGTACACTAGTTGTCTTGTGTGATAGTTATAAGAAAACTTAATGCATAGTAAAAAAATGACCCTTGTAGGTCCCATCAATTTCCCATGTAATATAGTATATATGGTTTTAAGTGCAGTGGTTTTCACTGAATATTATAAGAGATGTTGCCTATTGGTAGCAGTATTTATTTTCTTGATGTTGAGACATACTCCAAATTGAAGATTGTTGTCTTTGATCTTCTGCAGCAAGTCTTCCAAGTCTTCTTCACTTTCAGCAAGCAAGGTTGTGCCATTTGCATAGCACATTTGCATAAATTTGTTGAGGAGTCTTCCACCAATCCTGATGCCACATTCTTCTTCAGAGTTCAGCTTCTTGAATGATTTTCTCAGTGTACAGATTCAATAGGTGTGGAGAAATGAGACAGCCCTGACACACACTTTTTCTGGTTTTAAACTGTGCAGTGTTTCCTTACTCTGTTCGCAAATATTGATTAACGATAAAAAAAAAAGTGTATGTGAATGACTGCATGAAAACTGATTAAAAAACCAAACCCAAACCAAATACATACTTGTAATAGTTTCTTTGAAAACATCAGTGCAGTCGATTTCCAGTGTGCTATTCCCAGCCTCCAAAGTAGTTCTCTTGTTTTTCTCATTGCATCTCATGACATCATACTCTGAAACATAAAAAAAAGGCATATCACATTTTTCTCATGCCTAAGCCTTGTTGAAGAACTCTATTCTTTGGGAAATGCAATACTAATGATTTAATCACCAGCATTCTTCAAAAGGGCCTAAACAATTTGCATTGGTCACACATCCCAAGATGATATGGGATGTTCATGCTTCCTGGAGCTAGCTGGCTCTGGAGTGTGTCAGCTAAGTCTGTACTACTGAACACTTAAAGAGAAGAAAACATTTAACAATGCCCACCGGAATGCTGACTAAGGGGAGAACTTCATTTTTGAAAGATAACCATTAAATATTTCCAAAGGAACAATTAACAGGGAGTATATTGGAAAGGTACCTGGAATAAACTTTCTCAGTAATGCAAATACAAGATCTGACAGCAGGTCACTGTTATAAAAACTTCATGGGGAGCTCTGGTGGCCTAGTGGCAAGAAGCTGCAACTACAATCCCAGAGGTGCACGGTTCGAATCCACCAGATGCTCTGCCAGGGAAGGGGGGGCAATCTCCTCCAGTACCAGTCAGATCTGATTTGACGGTACACTCACACAATAATAATAATAAAAAACAAACAAACTTCAAATACACTGAATTTGTCTCTGGAGAAGTTAGAAAATGTGTCTGAGAGCTATGACAAAGATTATTCATTGTTGCTGTACCTGGTCACCCTTTTCTTTCCTTGTGAGTATATGCATAACATAAAATCTATTCCCATACAATTAATTATGATGCATACTCCTCAAATTTAAGCTGAACACAAGTAATTTTCCAGCCTGTCTGGCAGCTAAGAGGGGAGCCTTGCAATGATTTAAAGGTCGATAGAAGGGACACCAGAAATGTTGTGTGATAACTGAGGCTCCAACAGAGACTTGTACACCAATGTTCATAGCGGCATTATTCACCATTGCAAGAAAGTGGGAACAGCTCGGATGTCCAACCACAAAAAAATGGATTGAGAAGTTGGTACATTCATACAATGGAATACTACGCAGCACGCAGGAGCAATGATTTTGTAAATTACTATCTAACTTGGCGAGCATTACGCGGAGTGAACCAACTCAGTCCCACAAAGACAGATAGTGTGTAAAACCATTATTGTGGAATGAGTATGAGAATCCAAGGGGAGGGAGGGTGGAAGCAGAGAGGTGGGGTGGGTGTGTGGGGTGTTAATCAGAGGATTGCGCAATTGCGGGGGTGGTGTTGATGGTGAAGGTGAAGGAAATGGGAGGGCTCTGTGTGAAAACCAATGTACTTGAACTTTGTCAATAAATCAATATTAAAAAAAGAGAAATATGCGATAAAGAGAATGACTAAGCCTCCTGTTTTTCCTCTTTACCGCTTCTCGCTAACTGGACGTGGAACTAGAGCTGCCATCTTGGAATATAGATGGACATTTGAACATTGCAGATGGCCAGGTTTGGGGTTACCTGGGAATTGCTGACTCATTAGCCTTTGTTTCTTAAATCTGTTAAAGGAATAGATCTCTGTCCGTATAAGCCATATTTCAGTCTTTGATATACCTATAGATCTTGTCTCCCCATACAGAAACTGAGTTTGCATGGAAGTCATCAACATACTGTGGTGACTGAATACATTGCATGGTTAAAAATTTGGAAAGGTATGTGCTAGAGTTGTATTCTTCACCATATTTACTCAATCTGTGTGATGAACAAATAATCTGAGAAGCTAAATTATGTGAAGAAGAATGTAGCATTAGGATTGGAGAAAGACTTATCAGTAATCAGCATCATGTTGCTATTTTTGTTGTTAGGTGATGTCAAGTTGAGTATGACTCATAGTAACCCTATAAACAAAAGATCTGAACCCTGTTCTGTCCTGCACCATCCTCACACATCCTGACACACAAGAGCCCATTGCGGCAGTCACCCTGTCAATCCACCTAGTTGAAGGTCTTCCTCTCCTTTGCTGACCCTCCACCCTTCCCAGCATCACATCCTTTCAGGGAATAGCCCCTCCTAGCTACATGTCCAAAGTATGTGGGGCAAAGCCACATCATTCTTGCCTCCAAAGAGCACTCCAGGTGCACCCTCTCTAAGACATCTGTTTGTCCTCTTGGCCGTCCATGGGATGTTCAGTGCTCTTCTCCAACACCACAGCTAAAAGGCGTCAATTCTTTTTCTGTCATCCTTATTCATTGTCTAGCTCTCAGATGCATAGCAAGTGATCGGAAAGACTATGTCCTGAAGCACACACACCTTGGTCTTCAAACTGTCATCATTATTCCTCAATGATCTGGAGAGGTCCCTAACTGCAGGTTTTTCCAGTGCAATGCATTCCCTTATTTCCAGACTTCTGGTGCCAAGAGTGTTAATTGTGGATTCAAGCAAGATGAAGCTGTCGACAGTTTCAGTCTCCTCTCCACCCATCAACACAAGGAGGATACAATCTTGCTTGCTGAAAGTGAAGAAGACTTGACACATTTATTGATGAAGATCAAAGACCATAATCTTCCACGTAGATTATGTCCTAACATTAAGAAAGTAAATGTCCTCACAAATGAACTAATTAGCAATATCATGATAAACATAGAAAACAGAGTGAAGTTTCAAGAATTTTATTTTACTTAGATCCATAGCTCATGGAAACAGCAGCCAAGAAATGGAAGGATATGTTGCCATTGGGGTGATGTACAGTAAAACCTCTTAAAAATGTCAACAAGCAAAGCTGTCACTTTGAGGACTAAGATGCCCTTTGCCCGAGTAATAGTATTTTTAATTGCTTCTTTTTAAAAAATGTTATTTTATTAATTTTAATGAACATTTACAGAGATTTTGGATTTCCATTCATTCATTGTGGCACTTTTCTCCCTGCCCAGCCCTTCCCCCACCCCAGTTTGTCCCTCTCTTTGAAAAGCAAAAGAAAAATTCCTTCTTTGGTATATAATCCCCTGCACCCCTCCCACCTTCTTATGCATGTGAGAGTTGGGCAGTGAATACAGAGGACTGCAGAATTAATGAATTTGAATTGTGGTGTTGGCAAAGAATTTCAAGCATGCCATCGACTCCTTGGAGAATGGATGTGTTTACGTTGCAGCAGTTGTAGTCAGAAGGCTCCTTAGAAGCAAGGAGGATGAGACTTAGCCTCCTCATCATTTAATTTGCATGGAGAGATCATTCCCTGACAAAGGATGTTATGTTTGGCAAAAAGAGAGGGAAACTCTCATTGAGATGGATTGACAGTGACTACAACTATGGGCTCAAAAGTAGCCACAAATGGAACATAACTTGGCAGTGTTTTACTCTTTCGTGCAAAAAGTGGCTAAGTGTTGGATCTGACCTGATGACAACAACAAACACACACGCTATAAATATGTGACTTTTCTATCAATGATCTAAGCTGCCAATTCAAGAAGCTAAAACACTAAAGGCTTATTAAGCCTAAAGACAGTAGAATGCAGCCTTTCTGGTGGTGACCTCCGCATGCCAACATGCTTCTCGCAAAGGATCTCCTTCATCTGTCTCCAGAAGAGGAGAAGAGGAAACGCAAGAAGAAACCCCTGGTGCATCCTATTTCACGGATGTGAAATGTCCAGGATGCTATAAAATCACCATGCTTTTCAGCCATGCACAAACAGGAGTTTTGTGTGTTGGCTGCTCCACTGTTCTCTGTCAGCCCACAGGAGGAAAAGCAAGGCTTACAGAAGGATGTTCCTTCAGACAGAAGTAGCGTTAAGAAAGAAAAAAATCAAGATGAATGGAGATTATCTCAATAAACAGAATTTTGGATCTACATCTCCCTCCAAATTTTGGAGATATATTTATAGATATATATTTATTTATTCTCCCATTCATTCATTGTTGCACATTTTCCTCCCTGACCGTCCCTCTCCACCCCCAGCTTGTTTTTCTCTTT